GTCGGATTGTGGGAATACTCCTTTAATCTTCGAAATTCAACGTTGTGAAACTAAATTCGTCGAACCTCTGATTCCACCTAACTCCGAGGGTCTTTATCGACTCTCCGTCCGCGATAGACTTTATCTTGTCATCCTCACGCTGCGCAGCTTGAGAAGGAAGCAAATCAGCATGATTTGCAGCCCACTTATCCAGCTCCACTCCCGCCGCCCTCAACATACTAACTAATTCCTCCCGTATTCTTTTCGCGGCAGACAACTCATCCGCTCCAGCGAATATATCGTCAACATATGTATTGTTGTTCAAACACGAAGCCCCGAGCGGATACCGTGCTCCCTCATCGCTAGCTATCTGCCGAATCGTGCGAATCGCAAGGTATGGTGCACAGGCTGTGCCGTAAGTTATCGTCGTTGAACGAAAATATATCGGCGGATCAGATCGACTGGGGGACCAGACTATTCGTTGGAAATCCTGATCGTCCGGCGCGACGCGAATCTGTCGAAACATCTTGACGACATCCGCAGTGAAAGCGTAACGGTAACGTCGCCAATTTAACAAGATCAAAGCTAGATCGCTCTGAAGCGCGGGTCCCTTCATGAGAAAATCATTTAGACATTTTCCGAGACTAGTCTTTCGCGAAGCGTCGAAGACTATCCGGATCTTCGATTGGATTACAGCGTGATGCGGCAAATACCACGCTCTCGGATTTTCGACTTCGGACGGCGGTACGCGTTCCATATGCCCGAGCTGTTCGTATGCGAGCATGAACTTCCGATATTCAAGCGCCAAATTTGAATCCCGGTCAAATCGACGATGCGTATGAGCTAACGATCTCATCGCCATATTTCGTGTTTCACGACCGATCTCCGGTAAACTCGACTCAAAGAGTAACCGGACGGTGTATCGACCACCATTGTCACGCGTATGCGCCTGACGAAATAACTTCTCACAACTATCCTCCGGCGGATCATGGACCGCGACCGTCGAGGGCACTTCCTCGAGTTCCCAAAAACGTTGTAACGACTCATTCAAATTATCCTGAGTAGCACAGTGATGTGCACGAAGCGGGAAAGATTCAGGATCAACCGCCCGCCGTGAGGCGTCCGTTGATACTGGTCCTGATAAGATCCAACCCAGTACTGTATTCTGAGCGACCAGCGAGGATTCGGGAAAAGTCCTTACCCCTGATTGCAATAATCGCCCGTAAATATCCGCGCCTAAAATGACATCTACCGAATCTGGCTCATGAAACTGCGAATCTGCTAAGAGCAAACCGTCGAACAGGTCTAAAGGCAATTCTAAAACCCGACGTGCTGGTAACTGCGAAGTGATTTTTCCCAATACAAGAGCATCGGTTTCAAGTCTAACCGACGCACAGTGGGTTGAAACGCGAAAAACGCGGACAAAACCTATTTTCAGAAGTATTTGTGAATTGAAATGAATAATAATATGAACTTTTATAGATTTTGATGTGCAGAATTTGGAGGATTGACGGATGGCGTTGTGTTGTGTACAAGTCGGAAAGAATTGGGCAAAAGAAAAACTGAATTTAAACTTTAGTTGAGCAGAATTCAGAGGCAAATATTATAAGGCATCGGATTGAATTATCAATCGTACTGACAGAGAAGTGTGGAAGCCGGAAATTGTATCTGAACTGGATCGAAAGGTCAGGGATAAGGAATTCTAACCTAAAAGAAGCGTGGTCGCCGATACTGACAATGTCAGAAGAAAAAGGTATGAGGGGTCGGCCCCTAAAGCAGCTAACAAACGCTAAAGCGGCATCCAGGGATGAGAAGCAGAGGAAGCTCTGTCCAGATAGGAGTCTTGCTGCGACGCGCAACAGCATTAATGATACAGAGGAGTCAGAAGATAGCATATCAATGTTACTGAACCAGGTAATACAGAGAATGGATAAGATGACGGGAGAAATTAATGGAATGAAGGAAGAGCTAAAAGAGGTACGTAAAAACAATATGGACATAAAAGAACTAGTGAGTGAAATGGCTAATTTAAAAGCTAAAGTCGAGGAAGTGGATACTAGAGAAGAAGAAGAAAGGAAAATCCTAGAGAGAAGAATTGAGTTATTGGAAAGTAGCGAAGAGAATAGAAAAAGGATGGAACGTAAGAACAATATCATTATTAAAGGATTGATCATTAAAAAGGACCTGGTAGAGGAAACTACAGAATTCATTAAGAACCGCCTGAATGCTGAGGTGAATATCAAAAAGATTCAGCAAATAAAAACGACCAACAATAACACAATGATTAGAGTCATGCTGGAGGATTTTGAAAGTAAAATTAAAATTAAGGACAAGAAGAAAAAACTAAAAGGAGAAAAAATCTACATTGACGATGATTTGACTCCTAAGGAGAGTGAGATACATAGAGAAATATTGGCATACGCAGCAACTCAAAGGTCATTGGGCAGGAAGGTGGGTGTGGGCTACCAGAAACTGTATATCGACAATGAATGCCTCTACTGGAAGGAGGGTTCGGGGCTTGTAAAGAGACAGGAGAATCCTTTTCCAGAGGACAAAAGAAGAACGAGGAGAAAATAACTCCGGTGAATTTTATTTTCTGGAATGTACACGGCCTAGGCAACTTGTATAAACTTAGCAAAGAGGACTTCAGCGAATTCTTGGAGAACAGTGCAATAATTTGCTTATCAGAAACATTAATTACCAAAGCGCGAATACAACTGCCACCTTATCTAAGCGAGTATAAAGTAGTTGTAAGTGAAGCAACCAAAGAGAAATCGCTAGGTAGGCCCAGCGGAGGATTATGCATAATTTATAATCTAAATGTAATTGAGGAACTAAAGATAATAAACACTAGTGACAGCTGGATTTGCGCCAAAATTAAAATGAGATCCCGAGAATTTATTTTATGTAATGTCTACATCAAACCGAAAAACACGGAACAATTGATAGAAACATTAGGTGATATTTTGAAAGAACTGAAAGAGAGCTATCAATTACCCATAATAGTAAGTGGGGATTACAATGCGAGGATAGGTGAGCTAAATCGGGTAGATGAAGTATTGGTGGAAGGAACGAGATTCACGCAGAGGAGAATAG